ATCACCCGGCATCTCCACGAGCTGTTTTAGCCGCCCTTAACCGCGCGCATCCACGCCCTGCGCCCCCGCTCGGACGACCGTTCCGCGAGGAAATGCCTTCCGGCGGACACCATTGGCTACTTTATCGAGATCACCGGTTGGAAATACGGTCCCGAACAAAGGCAGCCCTGATAGAATTATAACTACGTTATGCTGGCCACCGTAACCCTTTCCGATTGTTACGGGATCTATTAACTAGAGAGGACCCGGCGAAACGCGGGAACTCGTGAAACGATCTCGCGACGAGAAACTGCTCGAAATCATTTCAAGATCTGCCAAGGGAAAACGAGCGCAACACCTTTTGCGCTTTTTCGTCACGTGCGGAACGTGCGGCGACATGTGGATAGGAAGCCGAAGCTGGTTGGGAAGCTGCTCTCCCAACCAGCGACATTGGTAATCCCACGGGATATCAGCGCGAATCGTCGCAACATCCGCCTTGAGACTCGCCCGGTTGGCGCGTTAATGGATCGATGCGTCACAAGGCGCGTTAATGTGACGAGCCGTAGGTCGATAATTATCAAAGAGGGGCTTTGACTTGGTGTTTGCGAAAGCGCGGGGGCAAGGGTCGACGGGGGTCGAAGATGTATCGGCCGGAGGGCTGCTAATACGACCTGTATATCTGCCTCTCCAATCGCTAATTGAATTAAACGGCCGAACGTCTTCGATCGATATGTTAGTGAGAGATTTCGTCGCGAGTAATTACAGACATGTAGCGGCAGCTGCTGACAAAAGCGGGGTCGGCGCCCGCCACTACCATTGTTTCGCGGAATTGGGTTACGCGATCGTAACCCGACGAAGCCTGGCAATTTCCTGCTTGTCGTACCGCGCCGAGATTCGATGACGCCTACGGCAAATTATTTCCTACGGATCTGTCGTCGATTTAGTTAATGATCGCGGTCCGACCGCAATAATGGCAGCATTGACGATTCGTGGCCATCGGCCTGGTCGCCTAACGCGTACCGTCAACGATTTACAATTCAGACCGCGTGTAGTTTAATTACGACGCGCTGCGACGGGCGAGATAAAAAAAAATGTACGCCACGGTATGAGTGGATCCGAAATCATTCAACGTTTCTACTATCGATTCTCTAAATTTCGAATTGATTTCTTCTCGTAGGGTTGTCCAGAATCGGATAACTTTTTACGAATTAACGATTGAAAATGTGAAAACTTTTTCGCAAGTTCGAAAGAGATCTTGAGAAAAGAAAATAAATAACGAAATTATATTTTTCAATCAATTTCAAATGGATGTTTATTCAAGTATAACTTATTTTCCAATATTTACAAGGTTGGAAATCAGAGATGCGTCACGCTCGATATTTTTTTCTTACAGAAATGATGTTAAAATAAACTGAAGAAGCTGCATTGCAAAAGATATTCCAAGTAGTTTTCTTTCTTCCGGAATATCCTGAATTTTAAAATAATGTTACGTATTGCAAATTTTACGATTCAAACCCTCACTCTTGAAAGCACTCGTTCTTACAGTGCTTTAAATAATACTTGGTTGAAATTCACCGTCATCATTATTTAATTTTCAATTTTCTAATGTAAGTCTTATTCCCCTTGAATCAACTTTGATATCTTAAATTTATTGCACGCCTTGATACATCTGACGTTTTACAAATAGATTCGTCGGGGGGGTTTCCTGATTGTATGTAATTCATACTGTGCTGGGGTACGCTAACAATTACCTGCGCAGTGAATAACATTTACACTAGACAATATCTGAACATCTTGCGTACTCATCGCACGATGGAAGGAGAAATTGGATGGAAGGTAAACGAGCGAATAGGAGAAACAGATCGTTTAGTGACGTACCGATGAAAAGGGATGATGCTATTAGGTTAATTAAGGCGTCTTAAGATTTTAATGAGTTCTCCTCGCTCACTGACGATGAAGCTGAATCAATACATTTCGAGACGTCTAAATTTTGCGGACGGTAGATTGCAACATGACCTCTTTTTTCCAATATCTCCACTAGATTTTATTTACGACTTTTCTTCCGACCAAACGCTAAACTAAAAGGTATCTTGTAAAAATGTATTTATAACCATATCTAAATATACTTATTCACGGTGAATTTATTGAATAAGTATTAAAACTTTGCTTCATTGTTATCTCCTTCATTTCCTCCAATAAAATCTTATGTTCGATTGTTCGGGTACAACATTTTAATATAAAAAATAATAAAGTATCTGTAATAGTTTGTATAAATATCCATTTTAGTTGGCGCAATTTGTTGATGTCATTACTTCTGTAGAGAAGATAAAAATGGTTTTCTTTCCTAGCAAAATATATCCAAATAATTTGATTATGTACTTATTCACGGTAAATTCTCGTTGAAATTTTTTATAACCATTGAGGCTCGGCGAAGCTTCCCTGCAAAGTTGCAGCGATATGTCTTTAAATTAAACTTTGATCAAGTCGGTTACCAAATCTCCAGACTTCAGTACGCTACAAACGCATATTAATCGGGCATAATGAAAGAGTTGATTCGTCTGCGGAGGCCGGCGCGTTAACTGGCCCAATCATCAATCAGCCCGGTGAAGCTAAATGGTCAGGACAACGGGTTTTAATATCTCCTGAGGAAAATAAAAGTTAGCGCGATAAATCAAAGGTGAAAAGTCGCTGCCTTACTTTCTCTCTCTTCTCCTCTCGCCCCTTTTTTCTTCTTCCTCTTTCATCCCCCCTCTCTCTCTCCCCCCACCCTTCCTCCCCCACTCTCTTTCTTTCTTTCTCACTTTCTTCTGCAACCTCGCTTTTTCCTCATTGCGCTCTCAGCTTTAATCTCTTCGCCTTCCATCGGTGACTTGCAAAAATGATAAATGAATTTCATCCACCGCGCGCGTGCCATATTTATATCTATAAAACTGGATAGTAGCCTCATAATAACCACGGTGACGAACGATGACAATTTCTGATGATAACATTCGTAATTTGTTCGCACAAGCATCGCAATATTGATCTTTATGCCGTAGCTTATGGATGACAGTCGCAAAAATTCAGCGTCTCGCCATCCAATTTTCGCCGATGGAAGTTTTATTGATTTACATTCGCATACACCCCCTCGTCTCTCGCGCGTCTGTGCACGGTGACAAACGTCGCGAGGTAAAGTCGCACGTCTGTACGCCGTTGTTGTAATTTTTTTGCGTCAAATATTACCGCACGGCCGAGTAAAACGGGAGTTGAAAGTCATTTAGGTATTATCTTACGGAAAAGACGGCGGCTACATATTTGCATTACGTTCGCGTGTGTAAACACGTCTGCTGAGGCGCATACTTTGTCATCCTATCCTATTTACCTTGGGGAGAACGCACCTCCGCGGCATGCATCGCGTGCAGCCCCTTTACAACCTTGCCCACTTAGTAATCGCTCAGGTGTTTGTGACAAATAGCAATGACCCCTTTCGCCGCGGGTGCATTCTCCACATTGAGGCTATCAATAGATATTATCCTTCAAAATTATGCCGTTGGACGCGCAACAAAAAGAAATAAAGATGCGGAATACACCGTCGGATAGATAAGCTCTTTAATTCCGCGAACGGTACTTAATCTAGAATTTGTGGCCGTATTCATATTACGAGAGCATATTTCTCACGCAAAGCTCTGGCTTTTAATCCTTTTGTTCCGTTCCCTATCGCGCACAAACACACACACACATCTCGAATACGCCCGAATTGAAATGTATGCGTATATTAAACGTGTCATGTGTTTCGACACGACTTTGTTTTTCTATTCTGCGAAAACCCAGTTAGAAATAGAGAATTGATGATATATCGAAAATGCTTACAATGCCTATAGAAAAGAATAAAAATGGACCAACGGCGCGATAGTAAAGTAAATTTTCTAGCGGTAGGATCGGACAAAATCGGGGGAAGACCGCTGACCAAAATCTTGTACACCAATGCCCACTAATGCCCAGTGGGCATTACTTTATCTTATTATCTTATTTTATCTTTCTAATGCCCCAGCAAGGCCCAATGCCCAGACTAATGCCCAAAAAATGCCTAGTAACGCCGCAAATCTGTACACCACCTCGTGGCCCTCAGCGGTTTCCCTCTCGGCTAAAGTCTTTCCAGCGATAAACGTAACAATTATAACGAAGTCGTCAAGAATAATACTGTCTAATTGTAATTAATGCCATATCCCGCGCAATTTTTAGCAGACATTTCCGCAGTGAGGTACGTCCAGCCGCGGACAGCCGCAGCCAGTAATAAATCCGGTCGACGACGCGTTCGCTGAAGACAAATGATGAAATTACGAATAATTATTCAGGTATATACCCCCGGATAAGTTACGCGTGGAGGCGCGTGTAAGGGTGTAGGGAAGGCGCGGATGTCGGTAGTGCCGGAGTAAAATATGATGTAGAGTTTGGCCGGTTTGGCCGGCGCTACGGCGGCTAATACGTTCCGGGAGAGAAGTTAGTAACAGGTGGCGCGATCCATAATATCGCGCGGTGTAGAATTTGCCCAATCTGGGAGGACAAAAGTATATTTTGTCTGTGGCTGCGTGTAAATATATACAAGCGTAACACGTAATTCCACACGGTTCATTTTCATTTTAATTTCGTGTTTGTTCCGTGTAACTTCCCGAATTATCCAGCAAAAGTGCACGTGGATTCAGAATAATGTATATCATCGTACCTTCCTTAGATTCGCATCAAAAAACGTAAGCAATCGCAGGGCGCCCGGTAACAATAGGACAGAAAACAAAAAGAAACGCGAGGCGGTATTATTGGAATCGAGGGCGAGGGCTGGAGAGAGCACGTCTTCCTGAAGCACTGAAAATAATTATGTTTCTTTTTTACGAGAATTGCGAAAAAAAATGAATGGAGAAAGACCGAGCCTTTTTTTGGTACGATTGGGAATACTTTGCTACAGAGCTCTACAATTAATTTTACATGAAATATGCGATGTCAACGTAGATCCGATTTTTTAAAGATGGAAAATTCTTTTGTTGCAGTGTCCGCACCGCCAAGTACCAGTCCTAGCCCATCTACCACAGAGATCCCCAAAAAAGGTAAGATATTAGACCCAGATCCCTCGCGACGGTTATATACACATATAATACATATGTACATACATATGTCTGTTGAAGAAGTTCCCAAACTTTGTCTTTATAATTTTTGTGGGTTTACTTACAACTTATTCAGCCCCATCTCCTTCGAAATATGTTCCCTCTCGGTTGATATACTACTCCTAACGCTATTTCCACTTCTGGAAACAGTCCTGCGCTACGCGTTTTTCGAGGTCGCGCGCAAGTTCGCCTTCGAATTTTCCTTGATTTCTTTAATTGTCGACAAAAAGGATTGTTAGACGACTGTAGGGGCTGGCAGATGGTTTATTTATTTAAATCCGACGTTTCGACCGTGCGGGTTGTGATCCTTTTCAAGGAATTTAATAATCCACAAGTTTTTAAAGGACATTGAAAATACGAACACAGTGAAAATTTTTTTACTTACAAATATTACTAAAAGACAGGGGGTTTGACATCATCCACCTCTGGGCATCACTCGGAAAACTATTGTATGTTTGAAGGCACGTCCATCCGACGTAACGACCACAGTAGGACTAAAGCATATCAGTGGTGTAAAGGAGATACAAAGAACATAACAATAAATAAATACACATTCTTTCGTTGCCCTTTAATTGTGTCGAATCGTTGGTCTTCCAACGTAAATTTTCATTTTGGCAAAAGGAAAAAGCCCACAAGGGCAGGAAACCTTTTGAACAAGCCTCGTGTGTATAAAGCATTGCAAACTTAATAAATTATTACACATCGCGCTATAGAATTATGCATGTCATAAGGTTTGATGCTTCCATATACCGCAATCGATATTATTCATGTTGTACCCGCCAGCTTAAATCTAATTTTCCAACGCGCGTTTACTTTTGCAGATTGGGAATTTATGGCGGAGATGAATAACTCTGTTTACGGGAATCCAAGTTCGCTGACAATTCAAAATGAGAAGAATATCAAGACAGGTGAGTGCTCGAGGCGGTATATCTTCTTTTTGGGTAATTTTCAACGTATATCATCGCAATTTCGCGAATTACGGGATTGATTCCGCGACTTGGCATTTCAACGAAGCGATGCAGTCGTCGGCCTGTCACGCGAGCGTATACGAAGAGTAACAAGCACTTGAGATATATTTGGAAAACGTATTCTCTTGGATCTTTATATATCTCTCTATCCGAAGGCAACGCATCAATCATTTAGATCTTTCTCACACGTTCAAAAACAGGCGGAAATAATAAGACACAGAACAAAATTTTAAAATGACAGTGTCAGAGGTAACAAAAGGAGAAATCTATTAAGTAGAACATTTTTTTTACGAATTCTGGGACAATATTAACTTCCGAAAAATAATTGTAATAGAAACTGTCGGTTGTATTTATTATTAGCACCGCGCGTTATCAAACATTCGTGGCGAATACGTGAAGAAGGTTCAAAAGTTTCAATTGCAGCCTCTATACGTTAGTAAAATCTCAATCTAGATAAAGCGGATTTACATATTCAATCTAGCATCGCGTATAGTCAAATGCCATCCCTGTACGTCTGGATTTTCCAGCAACATACTTTGAATCTCCGGCGCGATTAACTTCGATGTTAACTAGAGCCGGGGGACCCACCAGGGAATCCCGAGAATCGATTGCGGCTTTAAGAGTGGTTCGAAGAAGGGTAAGCAACTCGCTTTAAAGCTCTCTGTGGAGGGCGAAAGAGAACCACGGAGATGAGGTCTATAACAGGATAACAATTGGAATTTTTCTGAAGGCGAGTCTTTTGCGATAGAAAATTATCGAAAGATGAACATTGCTGTTTTAAATCACGCAATGAATTACGCGTCAAACAAGACACTCCCGTTGTATACGTAATTGTAAATACTAATGAAATCCGCGCAATCTCCAGGGGGAGAATTGCAACAAGTTCTACAGGTTAAGTCTGCTGGAGCTCGAAGAAAAAAGATTTTAATTTGATATATCGCGCTGCTTTGGAAACCGCGCGTTTACCTAGGAAATCAAAACGCAGCGGTAACGGTCGAAAAGCTTAGGTAAAACGAGTGTGGTGAACAAAAAGAATGGAAGAATAAACATAAAGGTAACAGAGAGGCAACTCTGAAGTGATGTTCGTAAGAGGAACACATGAGTGGCGGTTACGTGAAAGAGCGGAAGGGATGGATGAATACATGGAAGCAAGAAAGAGAAAGAGAAAGAGAGAGGGAGAGAGAGAGAGAGAGAGAGAGAGAGAGAGGGAGCCGGGAACAGGGTTGACTGGGGTAGAAGAGATCCGTGTAACATCAATATTTCATGTATGCTAACACGCCGGAACTAATAATGCTCCAGCGAGGAAGACCCAAGAATAATATCAGCCGCCGCTGTGTAGACCGCGTTCTCCGTCCCTATCCACGCCTTTTCCCCCTCACCCCTCTGTTTCTTTCTTTGTCCTTCGCTTTGCTCTATCACCTAAAACAGCAACGTGCAGCGTCCTAGCGTCCTTTTGCGCCCTGTGTTAAATTTAATCGAAAATTCGTGTCTCGTTGAGCTTCGCCGTCTCTACCGTGTCTACCGTGTGTCTCTCCTCCCGTCCTTTCTTCCACGTATAACCAATGTCATCGCCCCGGGGGCAGGTTGCGAGAGACGGCGGAAAGGTGAGAGTGAAAAGATGAGGGCTGAGGGGTGAAGAGAGGAGGATGGTGAATGCGACGGGATGTGGTAAGTTTGAATACGGCATATGTCTCCTTGTCTCTCCTTCTCTATTTGCGGAGGCCGGGAGGAAGGAAAGGACGGGCTGCGAAGGAAGGATGAGGTTTGTAATTGGTGCAACATCTGCGGTCTGCAAGGTGGCATTAATGTTTGCTCCCTTCGTGCTCTCTCGCCCTCATCTCTGTTCTCTCCTCCGTTTCTCCCCTCGATCTCCGCCGGGCTCCGAGGAAATCGTCTTTTTCCCTTATCGCGTTGTTTCTTTTTCTCTTCTCCTTATCCTAGTTACATTTAACCGTGTCTGCTTCCATTTCTCCCAGTTCTTTTAAGCACTTTATTTTTATGTCATCTTCTTTCCTTAACATATCTGTTTGACTTATTCCCTTTTAGTCTGCCGGCGTCTCTTTTTATATCCGCGTTACGCTCGTTACGATTCTAACAGCTCTCTCGTATTTCGCAGTACATTTTTTCCCGGATAATTTATCTCAGTTTCCTCCGCCCCGCCGTACCTGGCCGTCTTTTTACAATGCCCTCTTTAAACAATCCAGCGGTCACCGCCTATTTGCGCTGCTGTTTCTCGTTACTCGTATCGTTGAAAATTCAAAGACGCAAGTGTACGCTTAAGATTAAACAGAAGATTTGCTTGAGTTTCCTTTATGCGGACGGAAACTCAAGCATAAACAGGCCTTATTTGCTCGCGGTAACTTACGACAATCTGTTGTCGAGAATACCTAAACATAACGCGGTGCGTTTTAACTTCCTCCTGTACAAGATGGTGTTATTCGTTGTATGAAAAGGCAGGCTTGCTTGCGAAACATAAAGTAACGAACAGCATCAAAATATTTCTGGCGTATTAGATACCAAAAGTTACGTCAATATTCGCGTGCTTATCGAAGGAAAATAATTTAAGAGAGACCTCTTCTCAAGGGGGTAACCACTAGCTAAAATGTTGTCCCACCGATTACATGATTTCATTTCATTTTATCTGATTACAAATAATCTCATTCATATGCACGTTTAAAAATATGTGACGTTGTTAAACCTCAAAGAGCTGTTAGATTTTCTCAAAATATATTTTTCTTATTTTACTAACAAGTGTTCGCTTGTAGAAGTAATTTCAGTTAACATTGTAGTATTCGGTTAGGTAGAAAACGTGTTTTCTTGCTTCCCCACTTTCCCCACTAGTCTAACCGTGGTCTTAATGAAAAGTAATTTTGTATTTGTATGTACTGTTTATTGTTCCAAATTTGCGCGCAAAGGTATATTAACGTTTCAACTCGCTGTTGTTCCAACAGCAACTACTTCAGTCTTATTATGAAAAGAATTCGCGCTTATGGGTGTCAACTATGACATGTATTTGGATATTCACTAAAAGAAGTAAATTTTTTTGGAAAATGAAAACAAGCTGAGAAAATGTTCAAGTTTAATGTTTATTGTCTAACAAGTGAAAAAAAATTGAAAATGAAGGCAAAACGATTACACGGGGATTTCGTAAGGATTTTATATATTTATTTCGGAGACGCTGTCCCACGATTACATCTGGTTACCAGGGTTGGGAAAGTCACTTTATAAAAGTATCTAGTTACAATTACAGTTTTCTCGCTAAAAATGTAACTAGTTACAGTTACAAGTTACAAGTTACCAGTTCTGAAAAGTAACGCGTTACAGTTACAGTTACTGAAAAAGTAACGAATCGTTACTTTGCAGTAACTTTCTTGCAATGAAAATAAAAATATCCAATCTGCGTTTGAATTGTAAAGCGTCGATAAAAGCGTTTATGCGCAAATGCAAGGTTTAAAAAATATATAAAGTAACTATTAAATTAGTTACTGGTTATTGAAAAAATGTAACTGAGTTAAGTTACAGTTATAGACGCAGTAAAAGTAACAAAGTTAAGTTAGAATTATGAAAAAAAGTAACTGTAACTGTAACTTCGTTACAAGAGTTACTTCCCAGCCCTGGTGGTTACCCCCTTGCTTGTTCTCGATATTTTTCCTAATCTCTCTCGGCGCGTGAATATTACGTGACCGCGAGATATCGCAGTTTCTCGCACGTACTCGCAGGTATATCGATGTTAAACCGCCGTGCAATTACCATCGCAGGCATTTGTCCATTTCCGCTTCTCCCTTAAGTCGCGTCGCGATGGCAGGGCGCAGTTCGCGACTGGCAAATTACATGCAGAAGCCACGGTACGCGCGGCCTACAGCGATAAGTCACTTTGAGGTTCCGATGGGAAACGGGGCAAGTATTGTCGCGGTATCGTGACATCTCCCGGACCACATATGCCCTTAGGTGTCGCTTAATTCCCCGGGGCAGCGTTGTCCGCCTGTAATTCGGGGAGAGTATGTATAGCGATTGGTTTAGCCGCGTGCTTTCGTACGATTAACACGTCCCCTATTCTACTGTACGCGCGCACGTACTGGGGGTAGGAATAGAGGCCCGGTTCAACAGCGCTGCTCTTGTCGCTCCCGTTGTCGCTATGAAGCGGAGATCAAATCGCTTCATTAAGTCGCCGAGTCGAGAATCATTTTATCACGTTTATTCGGCGATGCGGCCGCGCGTCGCGTGTCGCTTCCGCGCGTGAAATTATTTACGATCCTGCATTAGCATCGTAAAGGCGCATTAATTAGAACGCGCCCGTGACGCCGTGACAATATTGCGCGCCGCGTGACACGGCCGTATAACTTTGGATCTCGGTGCGCGCGCGAGACCTTAGACCTCTGTTAATTTTCTTGGGGCACGGTTAGCCAGCCACCTGGGACAAGGAGTATCATTGACTTTGTGCGCCGTGTACGGCCAACATCGGACCGCTTGATATCGCAAAGTAAACGTACACGCGCGCCAAGACCGAGACTGAGTTTGATATTCACCGAATGCAGAACGGAGGGCTAAATCCACAATCTCAGCGAAAATAGTTAAACGCGCTCGCATTAATCCGTCAGTCCCCAACTGCGCGAACGTGTGAGCAGGAATATCATGACCCACCAGACGTAAAATCAATGAGGAGTAACTTGCGCGAAACGGTAACTTTTTAGGGAGGGGTGGGGGGGGCTCGTTTGTATCGACAATAGTTTCTTCCTGACAGCAGAGTCGCGAGAATCCGGGATTATCAAGTTCGAGCGGGACGTCGAATCAATGCGTGGGCACGAAGCTTTATTTTCTATATATTTTTTTTACCAATACGATCTTCCGCACGCACGATTCAGTCGAGTGAAGGACTATTCCGGACAAAATATTTTTGTACATTGCTGCAACATTTTACCGGTGGCTGTCGAAATGTTTAGTCGTGCAGGGATCTTATTAGGTACATCAATGCATCCTCTTTTCTACCTTGTCCCGTGTGCCGGTTTCTTTTCGGACGTAACACAGTTTCGTTTAGATGGAAACATTGCCGTCAGTAAATTCACATATTAACCCTTTGAAGCATGGTGGTACTCACGTTACCACTTCAACTTCTTTACTTTTTGGCAATTTAATTTCTAGTTAACACATTCAGGTCGGGTTTTTTGCATTTTTTGGGTATCTCAGCGATAAAAGAACATAAAAAAAGTTGAGTAGTCTTTAATATTTATTGTAAAAGTTTTATAACTAAACAAATATGAAAAAAACAGCAATTTTTCGGAAAAATTTATTATTGACCAAGTTTTTTTAAGATAATTTCTTGAAAACTTTGTACAAAGGGGTTTTCGGGGTCGCTCATTACGAATCTGATGTCAGACTTTCAAAACTCAAAATGGCCGACCCAAAATGGCGGACGCAAAGTACGTGAATTTTGTAAGTTTTTCAGCATTTTCGTTTGATTACGGTATTTAGGGACTCACGTCCGCGTCGTTAGCTCTGGTAGTGTCAAAAATGAATAAATTCTAAGAAATTATCAAATTTCAATTTTGCATCCGTCATTTCGCGCGTGCTATTTTTTATATTTGATAAGAATTTTCAACTGAAATTCAGATTCTATGGCTCCTAATAATATCTAAATAATGTTTTTTAGCGTAGTTGAATTACAGTTGAATTTTAAGTTTTGAATTCCGCTATCTTGAATCCGCCATTTTAAATTATGAAAATCTGATAACGGATTCGTAATCAGCGACCCCTAAAACCCTTGTATACCCAAAAAAAAGGTTCAATAGAAAAATGTATGCTTCAAAGGGTTAAATCGATAAACGATTTCTAATTATTTAAAAATGCTATATTTAGCATTCAATATCACCCTCCCCGTACTGTAAAGAAATCTTATTGCGAAATATATTACCTCAGCCAGGATTCGAACCTAGGCCTTCCCTCAATCCGTGACGGGCGTGTTAACCACTGAGAGGAAAGTCCTTTATTATGAGATAGGCTTCTAATATACAGGCGGCTAACTTTTGCGAGATGGAATTTCCCCCTCGAAAATATTGAGGGTTTATTTGGAACATTTTTTCGTACAATGCTTATTTTTCCAGATATTTTGCAGTCTCAAGAAATCTTATTGCGAAATATATTACCTCAACTAAGATTCGAACCTGGGTCTTCCCTCAATTCGTGACGGGCGTCTTAACCAACTCGACCACTGATTGTGAGAGGAAAGTCCTTTATTATGAGATAGGCTTCTAACATACAGGCGGCTAAATTTTGCGGGGTGGAATTGCCCCCTCGAAAATATTGAGGCTTTATTTGGAACAGTTTTTCGTACAAAGCATATTTTTCCAGATATTTTACAGTCTCAAGTTGAAAAACCCACCCTGCGTAAGCTAGCAAGTTTTCAACATTCAAATTCAATCGCAACTCTTTCCTCGCGACGATTACACGATCTAATGATGCATTTTCCACTAAACAGATTTCACTCTAAGGGCAATAAATTCATGACGGAGCCAACAAATGTTGTGTCTATCTCATATTAAGAACATATCTCGTAATAGGACACTTTCCTCTATATCTCAGTTACTTTTTCGTACCCAGAAAATTGTTGCTGCAGTTGCAAGGTCTTTTCTTTTCTTTTTTGAGTGAGTAATGATATTGCAGTTTTATGTGCGATAAATGAATTTTCTGGTCAGAGTGTCTGGAAACGTTTATCAATACTTTTATCTTCTTTAATTGCAATGTGTCGCGCAAGAGCATCGTATTTTCGCGCCAGCTTAATAGCTCCCACGTGTTGATCAACCTCCGAATAATTACATACGTTCGAGCACGTTTATTTTTCACGGGCAGTTAATAATGAGGGGGAGACGTATTTTAATTTTCCCGGCCATTTGCAGAAATCAACGATGTCTGATGCAAATTAAACATAAATTTCGTCGCTATTCAGATCTATTGGTATCCGCATTTCTGCTTTAACCCCACGCCGTGCGTCTCTCCCTCTTTCAATCGCTTTTTCCATCTTTCTTGGAAATTTACTCACGCACAATTTTGCCGCGACTAACACTCGCTCGTTGCTCCGCAACGAAATCCTGAACTATTACAGATAACGAAGCTTACACGCTCCCGTGGAGCTTATACGCGTCCATACTCGCGCGATGAAGGCGGCTGGTACGTCTGGTTCCCTAAACACGTCGTCGCCCACGCATAGCTACAGAAACAGCCGCATGGCGATAGAGATTCTCGCATATAGGAAACTATAGAACTGGCCCGGCGCTCACGGATATACGTATAGCGCACGTTACACATTGTCACTGCTAATGTTTGGTCGAGATTTGCATACGTCTGTCTAGCCTATCCATTGCGTCGCCGTACAACGGTTGTCTCACCTCGTTGTCCGAGGGTGTATCCGGCGAGGTGGCGGCGGCGACCTTACTCTGTACTATCAGCTCGGTATTATACACACGAGCGTACAAGCGGCCTACGCAAGCCCGCGCGCGCGTATACGTCGTCATGATCGCCCATTACCTTACCCGAAATAGGCTATCGTGCCAAGATCGTGCGCTTCCCTTGCAACCCTCGCCTTGTCCCTTACCTAAACTGACTCGGCACCGCCTCGGGGCCGCGAACTTACAAATCTAATTGCGAGGGAACGAAGACACAAAGCGATATTCACAAGCATCTTGTGCTCCACGGGTATCCCAAAATTAAGCCGTAAGTGCAGGTTGTCAGGCTCCTGCTACCTCCTGCTGCCGGTTCTCATTTTAGCGATACTGCGTTTATCAGTAACGTTTCAGCCAACTTGACGCACTGCCTGCAAATCTCACGCGCGTTTACGCGGACTTGGAAAAATTATGAATGCACGTATCGGTTGTAATCTTGAATTGAATAATGCAAAAGGCTATTTGAATGCAGAGTATGGATAAACTTGGAAAAATTTTAGAACTGTGGTGTGAAACGATTGTTTATAATCAGATATTATAACATTTTAGTATTAGCAAGTACAACAGAAGAATACGATTCGACTACACGATTTAACATAAATCTGTCGGCCATCTTTTGCAACTACACGGAGAGAATTTTCTTTTAAAATTTACCCTGAAAATCATGTAATCGTGGGACAATATGGCACTTTGAAAAATTTTGTGAGTTTTTTAAATTTTACCATACATTTTACTAGTAAAATGTATACTTTGTAAGTATAATTACTAGTAACAAGTATGGTAAAACTCTCGTAAAATTCTTCAAAATGCCATGTTGTCCTACGATTACGTGATTTTTAGGATAAATTTTAAGAGAAAATTCTCCCCGTGCAGGATGAACGAAATGAATATAGATCTAAAGATGTTACAATAGCTTGATAGACACGGAGAATCGAGAGCTTTCTCACAAAAGTCATAAAAGGGAGCTTCATTTCTCACATATTAATGCACGTTTCATACAATTACTATGTAAAGAGAAGTAAAAACGTATTATTCGAGCCATAAGATGTCTACTTACACGCTTCTCATACAACAAACACGTAGACAAGCACGCTATAACATGATAAGCCGACATAGGTAAGGTCTGGTTGTGTAATTTTATCAAAATATATACTCATCACGAGCTGTTTCGCTGCAAGAATGTAATCCAAAACGCGGCGGGCTTGCGACAAGCGTGTGTCGTGACACGGATAGAATCTACTTGGCGCGGATAAGGGAATTGTGTTTACTCGGAGTTTGCATACTAGTTAACGCGTTTGCCACCCACTTTATGCGTAACAGGCTCGTAAACATCTTCAGTCGAGAGGGCCACTCGTTGTACGTCCCTTTGTCCGTGGTTCCGCTATGCGAACCACGCAAGTCTCTCCTTTCGCTCCTTCTGTTCTCTCAGATCTCATCTCCTCTGTCTCACCGACGGCTTTGCGCTATAATGTCTCGAAGCGAGATTGAATTTTTAATTTATTCCCATAACGTCCGGGATTCATTCCCATAACATCCGGGAAACAAATTGTCGTCAGTCCGCGGTGGACTTTTCATCGCGGGAAGATATTTTTCTTGGGGATATCGCTTGTATTTTTCATTTATTATTAACCGTCGTCTATACAGACATCACGCCGATATACGTAGTTTTTCACAAACATGCGTTTTGTGTTTTTCTCCCAAGGTACCAAGTTCCAGTCGAATCTCAACGAAATCGGCAAATCGGAGCAGAAGTCGTCTGAGCTCGACAGAAAAAGAAATTACAACTGGCCCCCTGACAAGGGTGAGTATGACATAAC